GTCATGAGGGTGGAATCTTCATGCATGGGATTAGTGTTCTCATAAAGGAAACCCCACAGAGACCCCTCACCCCTCTACCACCTGAGGGCAAAGCAACGAGATGCCCACTATGAATCAGGAGGAGGACCTTCATCAGAACTTGACTGGGCTGGTGCCTTGATCTAGGACTTCACAGCCTCCAGAGCCGTGAGAAATAAACATTTGCTGCTTCAAGGCCCCAGGTCTGTGGTATTTTGCTTTAGCAGTCTGAATGGCCTACGGCGGTATCTGAAACTAACAACTAAATAGATTTAACATCTTCAGTGCCTCCACATTCCTAGATGGTTCTATTTTGCCGGGAATCTGAGGAGCAGACTAGATGTTTTTTAGAGTCCCATCCTTTTATTTTTTTAAAAAATACCTATTTATTTATATTTGGTTGTTATTGGGTCTTAGTTGTGGCACACAGGATCCTCATTGCATCCTGCAGATCTTCCATTGTAGGCCACGGACTCACTGTAGTTGTGGCATGCAGGCTCAGTAGTTGAAACACATGGGCTTAGCTGCGTGTGGGATCTTAGTCCCTCAATCAGGGATTGAACCCACATCCCCTGCTTTTAAAGGCAGATTCTTAACCACTGGACCAGCAGGGAAGTCTCTAGTGTCCCATCTGTTTTATCAAAGGATTTTATACAGCCAGGTCCTACATCTTGAATACTTCATATTGAACACTTCTATTGAAATGGTATTTTCCATTACTTTTGCAATGTTCTTATCAAAATGCAAAGACAAGGCATAGAAGGCAGAAAAAAGTTGAATTCATCTTTGTTGGATTTGGAAATTTGGCTTTTTAATCCCAGAAATTACCTACAATATAAAGAAACTCACACATAATACAGCTTTAAACATTTTTTTAGGAAGTGAAAGGTCACGAAATCTAGCTGATTCTCAGCTCAACTCCATACTTCTCAATTGCTGTGCCTCTCCAGTTTTTCCCTCACCAAGCTTGCATTATTAGCTCCACAATTAATTTCTACAGTTAATAACAAACTTTTTGGATATAGAGAGCATTGAAATAGTTTTTGTTGTTGTTCTTTGCTAATTACTGCTATAATCCTTATCCCCTTAAAAACTTTCACCTACAAACCAAATTTAATAATCATCAGGGTTGTTAAAAATTCATTCCTATAGTAGATGACCTCAAAAAATTGGTCTCCAAAAGTGCTTAGTCTGTCTAGTTTCAACTCAAACTGTATTTGAAATAAAGTTTTGAAAGAAACTGATAAATACTAGTAGCCCAGACACAACCTTCAAATCAATTTTTTATTCATTTACTATCTGTCCTCTAAGATAGGTAACCTTGAGGATCTAATGTCTGGTGATCTGAGGTGGAGCAGATGTAATAATGATAGAAATAAACTGCACAATAAATGCAATGCATTTGAATCATCTGGAAACCACTCCCCCACCCCACTCCCACCCCCAGTCCTTGGAAAAATTGTCTTTCATGAAACTGGTCCCTGGTGCCAAGAAGGTTAGACTGCTGCTCTAAGGTTATTCGTATCACATTAGAAAAGTGTGAAGTTCTTCATTACAATACCACTCAAAAGGCATGCCTTCCCAGATGTGTCTGTTACCCCTGGGCACGGTGGGGTTGCTGAGTCACACTGCAACCCAGCAGAAAGAACAGGGGCCCAGACAGGGCTCCCACGCTCTGTCATTTTCCACCTTCTGTGGGCACTGTTTCTGTGCCTGAACTTTTTCAGCAGAGCCGGTAACCAGACCAGCTGTGCACACCCCGCAGTGTGGTAGGGATTCATCAGGGAAACACGCAAAGTGTCAGGGAAGACCTTCTCAGGGTTGTGAGCTGTGCTGGTGGAGTGCTTGAATTAGAGGAAGAAGTGTTGCCCCACCCCAGAATTGTTAAGGCAACTACAGGTGGCACAGTGGTAAAGAATCCACCTGCCAATACAAGAGATGCAGGAGGCTCAGGATCAATCACTGGGTCAGGAAGATGCCCTGGAGAACGAAATGGCTACCACTCCAGTATCCTTGTCTGGAAAATTCCATGGAAGGAGGAGCCTGGCATGCTGCAGTCCATGGGGTTGCAAAGAATCAGACATGACTGAGCACGTGAGCACATAAAGGAATATGGAAAATAAAAGTCTTCTCAAGTGTTAAAAACAATTCATTCCTTTATTTCACAAACTCTTATTAAGAATCAACTAAATGGAGTTTATTCTGTTGGGTGGATTAAGAATACAAAGATTAAAAAAAAAAAAAGAATACAAAGATTGCCTATGCAGTATGACACACCTGCCTTATATTCACTCATATTTCTTTTTTTTTTTTTCCACTCATATTTCTATCCCCAAGTTCAGCTCAGGCAACTGGGAAGTGTAAGACCCCCAATGTGTCACCTTACTGGTGTTTGGACAAGCACTAAACTCTTGCCTCAGTAGCTTTCTCATTATTTAGGTCCCTAAACTCAAATGGAAGTGGAGGGAATATAAAATATTTAATGGTTGATTCCATCCCAGTCCTTGCTACTCCAGATCCATAATTCATTTCACTAGAGGAGTAGCCCCATGCACAGCAGCCCTGGCTTCCAGTGCTAAGAATCTATTTATGGATTAGCAAATGCATTAGTGCGACGTGTTAGTACTTGCCTCGGAGTTTAGCCCTGTCAGAAATTGGGTGGAAGTATTAAAATAGGGTTTTGTGTCAGAGCAGGGTATTTTTACTTGGCTCTGATGCACAAAACCATGGCCTGTGTCAGGCCACTCATTCCACTTTTTGTTACTATTTGCACTAACAGAACCCATTGCTTCATTATACACACTTCCAGGGTTTTAAAATAACTGAGCAGGACTTCCTGGTGGTCCAAGGGTTAGGAATCTGCCTGCCAACACAGGGGAGATGGGTTTGATCTCTGGTCTGGGAAGATCCCACATGCCACAGGGCAACTGAGCCCATGTGCCACAACCACGGAAGCCCGCCCGCTCAGAGCCTATGCGCCTCAACAGGAGAAGCCACCAAAATGAGAAGCCCATTCACTGCAACCAAGAGTGGCTTCCACTTGCTGAAACTGGAGAAGACCTACGGGCAGCAACAAAGACCCAGCACAGCGGGGTGATATGAGTGATATACACTAAATAATAAATATATTATTTATTAATAATAAATGATTGCTTTAATGATCAATGAAAACAAATTAATTAAAAATATAAAACAAATGAGCATTTGTTGCCCCTGTTTATCTGCAGGGCAAAGAGAGCTTTAGAGAGGGGAGGTGACCCCTGCCTCAGCTCTCAACACAGGTAACTAGGGAGATAGCTCGAAACCCTCTCTCAAAAAAAAACAAAAAAAACAAAAAAAAAAACCCTCTCTCTGCAGGGTCTCTGGTTCCAAATCATTTATGTGATGTTGATCTTGCTCTAAAAGAGTACCTTAGATTGTACATAGTATGTCTCCCTGGCAATGTCCTTCATTTTTATATATTCACTCTCTATCTCTCAGACGTGACAATGAAGGAAGGCAATGTGAAAATATGCTTGTTTTAAGGACAGAGCTGCGTCTTCATTCTCTGAGCCCAGTCCAGTGATTCATCGTGGGATCTTCTTGCCATCTAGAAATGGGAATGGGGACTGCTTTCAGTCACTGTTGCTTGTTATCATCAGCCCTGTTGATAAACTAAGGGTGATTACTGGGCAGTAACCCTGAAAGCATCATCCTCACCCTCTAGAGCATCTCTGTTTCCTTATCTGTGGGCCAAGACTAAGTTCAGAGGTCAGACATCTAGGAGGATACTGGGGGTGTGGTACTTTCCTGGTGGTCCACGGTTAAGACGTCACCTTCCAGCACCGGGGGTACAGGCTCAATGGCTAGTGGGAGAGCTAAGATCCCCCACGCTCAGTGCCCCCCCATAAAACAAAAAACATACAAAGCAGAAGCAATATTATAACAGGTTCAGTAAAGACTTTAAAAAATGGTCCACATTTTAAAAAATGTTTTAAAAAAGATATTGGGTGCATTCCAGATCTCCAAAAGAGAGGATAATGGGGCGCACCATGATTTTCCCCACCCCACTATTGTTCCCATAAATACTTTGACTCCAGATTATTACTGAGATGCACGATTGTGCTGATGAGAACAGGTGAAGTGTTGGATCCCGGGAGCGAGGAAACCAGTATTCAGAGAGCCAGCTCTGTTTCAGGCTGTGTTCTGTGTCACTCCATCCAAGCTGAGCACATTCTTGGCTTCCAATCAGCACACACCTTCTGGAGNAGCTGAGCACATTCTTGGCTTCCAATCAGCACACACCTTCTGGAGCAAAGCCTTCATTTGCAGTTTTGGACAACTGACTCTTCCATCCATAGCATCTTGTCTTTCCTGTGTGTGTTAAACTTACTGTTTTACTTGGTTAATATGCCTGGAATTCTTATAATTCCAATAAACAAGTACAGTGTGTATTTCCTTGGCTAACTGTATATGCTTAGCCCAGTGAGGATAATGAAGTGCGGAAGCGGGCGTTTTTTCTTATTTTGGAAAAGAGCATTCAAATTGGTCTTTTGGGGCAGATGCTCCACTGATTATTACAATTTCAGTATGACCAAACAATCTTTGTATCACCTACCTCTTTTAGAAGTCCTGCTTCAGGTGGGTTATGCCCTGACCTCCAAGAACTCTGGTGCTCACAGAGTTAAAATCTTCCCAAGTTTCTTTAACCTCTGTCTTCCCCATGCTCAATCCAGAGTGGGGCTAAGGGTCTTGACCTTGTCACTCTTTCTGAGGACAAGGGGCGAGGAAGAGATGAATCCAGCTGTGAATTCAGCGTCCCAAAAAAGAGAAGCAAAAATTCCTTTTTAGCACCCTGACCCACCCACATCTTCTGTGAGTCATCTGTGAGGCTTGCTGACAGTGGATGGCAAAGGGAAAACATGTACTTGCTTTTGCTATGAAATGTATAAGACAAAGAGGTAAATGAGTGACTTATTTTTCTTTCCAATTTCTGAAGATGGTAATTAGGAGAACTCACACCAGCCAGGCTCAAGCGAATGCAAGCAAGACCCCTATAGGCAGCACAGTGTATTAATGTAAAAATATGCTTAGACAACATAACTTGTCAGAGAGGATTATTTCTACTTAGTGGATCTGCAGGAGCCCCTTTGCTCTACCATTCAGAATTTGACTAGAGAAGAGAGTGAGGAAAGAGAGAGAGAAAGAGAGGGAGGGAGAGAGAGAGAGGGAAAGAGAGAGGGGGGAGCGCGCATTAGTGACAGCTACTGTGGCATTGATGTTGGAGCGCACTTCTGAACTGGCTTTTGTTGAGACTATCAGTGTATCTGTGCAGAAAGCATGCGCTGTCCCAAATCCGCTGTTACTATGAGAAATGAAGAGCTGCTTTTAAGGTATGTTGCTGTGTTCTTTGTTTTAATGTATGTCTTGCTAGTTTCCAGAGCTGGCCGAGACTGTCATCACGGTCAGAATCAAGTAGCTTCCTTATCTTAGAAGAAAGAAACAAAAAAGAATCTAGAGAGAGAGAGAGAGAGGGGAAAGAGGGAAATGAAATCGAGACCAAGAGATTGGGAGAAAGAGAGAACAAGCAAGAGAAAGGAGAAGGACTCCTGTGGACGAGTTATATTTGCAGGAGTTGCCTTTTGCAAGCATATCATGTATTTGCTTGCTGCTATTTGTGCGCGGCCAGTGGATAATTTTAAAGGCTCCGAATCTGGCTCTGGGTTTGTCTTTTCCTTTGCAATGTCTAAGCCTCTTTCATTATTATGCACTCTGCATGGAATACTCAGCGAGAAAGGAGCTAAGGAGACTCCATATTAGACTTGCGTTCCAGATACCGCTCTAATCTGGACTTAGCCTACCTAAATAGTCCTTCTGTGTTACCAGGTTTGGATCACTTTATCCTGTTTGCCAAAATGTGTACCTGTTTAAAGACCTCTATTCATGCATGGCGTCCTGGGTCCCTCTGTATTGAAAGCAAATATTTGTTTCCTGCATCTGTGTAAGGGTCCTACCGCTTACCAAGAATGAGCCACCTTTTGGGAAGCAGAGAAAGAATTATGATAGAATTGGCATCCTGCTTTGAAAAATGTAGTCTTTTGTTTATTTGCTAGCAGACATTGTAGCACTGAATACATCTATGGGTCTGACAATGGGACCCGTTGAACAATGGAGCTGTCAAACTAGCTTAATGCATGTCTGGGTTTTTTTTTTTTTTTCTTCTTCTTTCTCAACACCCTTTTTATCTGTTTTAATCTTGTTTGTATAGACTATCCAGATTGAAGAGCTTTTAGGACTGCTTGTTTGTGGTTTTGTGCATTTAAAAAATTTAATATCTGCCGTTCGTAGGGCTTTTTGCATTTTGCAGCTATGTTGGTTGGATTAAGTTAGAGATTTATTACTTACCTCTCTGTTAAACTACAGAAAGAAACTCATTGATTGAGACCGCTTGTAATACCATTATCATTCTAGCAAATACCTTGTTATCAGACATGCCTCTACAGTATTTAATGCTTGGGGATTTAAAATATGCCTGTTCGGTGGACTTACGGAACATAGCACTAAAACAAAGTTAAGAGGAATATTTCTAATGTTTAAGTAAATTATGATTTTTGGTATCTGCCTCCTCTTTTGGCATCCAGGTAGATAAACAGTTTAGAAATTCAAGGACAAGTGAGAACTTTTGCCCTCCTAATTTTGGTCACAGACTATCACTAGCCAGCCTGTTAAATTGTTAAGTTAAAGGTCTCTACAGAATATATTGATTTTTGATATATGATTATGTGCTTATAAAATGCATTTATATGCAGGGCAAACATGTCTCACATCTTCAAAAATCTTTCCCTTTATAACATGGGCACTGGTTTCTCAGGTGAAAACAGTGAGACCTCAAAAAGAGAAAATAGAAAAATCAGTTTCAAACTTCTCCAACATCAAAAACATTTTTATTCTCACATTAGATATAAAGGAACTGATTCTAGAAGATTAAATGGTAATTGATATACATGAAAATCATGTCACTGACATTTGTTTCCATAAAGAATATATCTTTTCTTACATTTTAATGTTTTGCTTTAATTAGCTGTTTGTGCCAGAGCAGTAGATTGAAAAATATTCGTAAATTCATCGAGATTTAGAACCTAATTCTTAAAAAACAGAAGGGAAATTATTTTAAGGGGCAAATTTTAAAAGATAGATATATTTAATTACAAATATTTCTTCTTGGATTATATTGTGTTCAGATTAGTGATGTTCCCAGTAAATAGGAGCAAGATGTAGTCTTCATAAAACCAGCTATGAAACATTAACTATTTTTCAGAGTTTGGACGTGCATTTCAGTTTTTCAAACTTAGGCTGAAATGTTATATTTAATACAAAATTGTGAAAATTCATGTTGCAAGCTCAATAAATTGCCTTCTCAAACATAAATTTTCTATTGATAATATTTTCAGAGCCTGGCTGAACCCATAACGTATCTGTAGAATAATTATATTTTTAAAGTTATCCATTGTAAGTAGAGTGGATTTTATGATTATGTTCTCTTACTTCCAAAGGGATATGAACGGCTCATTCCATTGGGTATGCCAATAATTGCTTTTGGATGAGCTTATAAAAGGTAATTGGTGAAGCTTTCTATCTGAAACTGGCCCACTGTTACCAGCACACCTAGATTCTGCTTTCATGGGAAATTTTTTTTCCTGAAACAAAGGTCACAAGGCAATTTTTTTGTGATTTGGGGGAAAAAAAGTAGTGTCCTGTGTTTCCCAGCTGCCTGTCAGAAGCACACTGAAATAAAAAAATACCTTAGAAAACTCCATGTTAAATTTTTGACTAAATTATAATCATTCACCTGTGATCTATTCACTTTAATCCCTGGGTGATCCTATCAGGTCCAAGAACAAGGGAACCCCCTACCCACTCGTGCTCTGACCCAATCATTACCAGCTTCCAGAATTCTGCGGCCCCCATTCCGGCGTCTGACACACAGCTATCTTGTCCTCTAGCCTGACGGGGGAGTGGGAGATGGCGGAAGTTGGCCAACTTGTCTATATCTATTTCCGCAACAGTAACAAGATATGTAATCTGTATCCTGCCCTCAACTTCTGTGTAGGGATGATTCCCTTCCAAGGTGACCTAAACAAATGTCAGAGTGAACTTTAATCCTAAACCCAGACTGTCAGAAAAGGAACAGAAGAGTCAAACTGAGAAAATGGCTTCTTTCAACAGAGTCACGGCTGAGCCGAGTTCTTGCACACGGGAGCCTCGGGAACAGGCAGCTGTATTCAGCAGGCCACAGGCTGCGAGATCTGTGACCTCAGCGTCCGAAGAGTTCTTTCATTTGTGAAAATGAAACCTCGCAGTTTTTCCTTTTCAAAATATGAGTGCATGCAATTGCATAATATCCCTTTGGGACTGAAAAACAAAGAAAGGCCTTTGATTAATATTCATATCTAGAACTTTAGAGCAAGTGCAGATTGTGCTGGAATACCTAGGAAGTCATTGGAAGACTGAATCAATACTAATTATTGTAATCAGGATGGTTAATTAAGTGAAAATGTGGCTGATAGAAAGTTCATTGCTCACAGCCCTGGAAACACCTAGGTTGATGAAAAGAAGGTAAAATCCAAAAGCAAGTGTGATACCTGGGAATGATCTCTCTGTGTTTAGGGGGTCAGAATCTGTCCACAAAAAACATACCTCTATTGGGTATAATCGTGACGGTGAGAAAACCAGCAACATCAGACTCAGTTTCTGGTGTAGAGGTTTCTATAAAAAGTCATTAACAGAAAGCAGTTTGTTAAGAAGCATCTCCTGCGGCTCCCACAGCATTTATCTGCCCTTCTTCCAACGGTAACAAGTATATTTCACTCTGTGGCAGTAACATCTTAGATCATCTTGATTAGCCTTCATTGAATTTCTTTCTACATTTTGGTAATTCCTGGGGGATATGTTGAGGGTGGGGAGGTGGGTTCTCCTTTTATCACACTATTGATTGCTTCCTTCTTGGTTATTACTGGCTTTGGGAATTTTTCTGAACTCGCAGTGACTTTTATTCTGTAGAAAAGATGAGGCAGTGGTTCTTGGAGAGGATTAAGATACGTGGCATTTCGTTTAACTGACATGGGGAAGAGGGTGTCAGAGGAAGGAACGCGTATGTGAGGTTTCAGGACTGTAGCCCATTAAGAATTGAAATGAAGTGTCCTAGAGCTGAAACACCTTTCTGATCCCACAGTACTCATCTCCAGAGGTCAGACTGAGATGGAAGCTAGATGTACATGTAAGAGAGAGAGACAGAGTGTCTATGTGTGTGTGTGTGTGTGTGTGTCTGAACCTCCACGCCACTCAGAAATGTGCTGGTTAACCCTGATTTCAGATGAGGGACCCTTTGTCCCCAGATGCAGCCTTCTGCTTCATGCAGTGTCATCAGGGGTTGTTCTGTGCAGGTATGTTTATCTGATCCAGAGCTTTCTTCTGACTGTGACTTGTCCCAGCACATTTTCTTGTATGTCAAGACCGTCATAGCTAATGGGGAACGGCATCTGTGGGGGAGGGTGACAGCAGCCCAGAGTGACATGTATGTATTACCAGGACAGCTGAGCTGCTCCCTCACCCCCTTCCACGGTGACCCACCCATGAATGGCTGCCTAGGGTGGTGATGAATCACTGCAGTTTGGGAAGCAGGATATGCCAGTGTGCCCTGGGAGAACAACAAAAACCAGAATTTTCCTCCATAATCATTCAGTTCCAGCAAACTTTGTTGTCATGAACACGAAGAGCATGAGGTTTGAAGTTATCGATAGCCGTGGCTTTTCAAATCCCTGGCTGAAAAGGGTTGCAGCTGCAATCGGTAGAAACTGTGTTGAAACTTATGGATGGCATTGCTGGCTCCCAGCTGGTGTGTGAACTGACGCGAAGGGGCACCATGGTACCTGCGGCAGGAGCGAAGCAGACACTTGTCATCCCTCCCGTAAAACGGCCCATCTCAGCGATATGGGCGCTTGCAGGTGTCGTCATCGTCACACCTTGCTTTTTGAATATCTTGGTCTGGGACCTCAGCTCTTTGGGGTTCTGTGAGATGGCTTCCCCATTCATTCAGAGATGACTTTGGAAGCATCTCTGTGAATGGAAATGCACTGAGCTGGTGATGGACGGTGAGAACTCCTCGTGGTGGCAGTTAGGGTTCATTTTGACTTTCTCTTTGGAAACTGACTTGATCAAAAGGGATGGAGCCCTTGTCACCTGCCACCTGCTCAGGACCTGTCCTGTATAAACTGTACCCTTCTTCCCCCGCCGGGTTAAGGGCTGCTGGCCTTAGAAGTTTCAGTGAAAACTTTAATGCTGCAAGGACAAAAGGATTAGCACTGCCTTTCTTTTTTCTTGCCCATCTGCCAGT